TCTTTCTCTGAAGAAGAGCACATTTACTGAAGAGCCACGGTCACTCTGTTTGAAGACCAGTTTGGATCTTTTAATTCCTTGCTGGGCTGGCACTGCTGTTGAATGTACTCCAGTTCTTCTTCCTGATTGTGCTCATTAGCATCAGTGCAAAGATGTTTTACCCCATGCAGAGTGTGCTTGGCAGCTGCAGGGCCCAGATGATAAACAGTGAAATTTGTTTTTTCCAGCAGCAGCACATGGAATTGTGGCTGGTTTCCTGGCAGGCTTTTCAGTCTCCGGGCTAGCTGTAGTGCCAGGTGGTAAACTTGACTATGGGAAAGAGGCAGGGATTGCCTCTTCATGACTAACATTCCTTTTAGTTTTCTACCATGTTTCAGCCATTTTCTCTAAAATTTCATTTTATTGAGATGGCTTTTCATATTTGTCTTTGTGTATGTAACTTATCTTACTCAGTTATTTTTTGAATTTAATCCTAACCATTTCAAAACTGCTCCTGATCTATTGAGCTTACAGACAACCTTCAGCAAACTTTGAGAAAAATTTCCATTTCCCTTGTGAAAGAGAGAGTTCATTTTTATTATAACAGCCGTTAACTTTGTGTTCTGTTTTCTTTTTATTTTTGAAACTGTGGGTGTATAGCCAAGTTCTAGAGGAACTCAAGAATTAAGGTATTTCAGTTTGTTTTTTCAAGGGCACCTTTTCCAGTTCTTTACTTAAAATGATCCACCCTTCTAATGGTATTCCTGATATTAAAGATGCAGTGGTTAGTTTTGAGGTGTTCCAGACCCCATGAATATTACCAGGAAAAAAGACAGAAGTAAGACACAAACACACATGCAAGTAATGCATCTATTCTCAGTTCTGTTGAAAGTTTGGATGAATGTGGTTAAGTCAGAAGCTTATAATAAGCAAGTTACCTTAGCCAGCATAAGACAGATGCTATGAAAAATACAGCAAGCTGTTTGATAGTGCAGATGCCTTGTGTGAAAACACAAACTTCCATGTAATTTTCAAGTGCATTGAAACATTCAAAAAGGAGATTTTGTCAATAGGAAAGTGCTGTGGTTTGATCAGCGTTTTCCCTGAAACTTTGAGTTATTTTTCATTATTACTTTACTGATGGCAATTCAAGTTTCTGAAAAAAATAATTACTTCTTCCATCAAGAATGTATACAGTATTTTGTTCATTCCTAGCTGATATAACTTAGAATAAGATAGTGATTCTAAATTAGATTGTAAGGAGCAGGATAGAGGTAGGTTTTCTGTAGACACTGTCAGAAGCAAAACTAAATTAGACTTCTAATGGATACTTGGGTGATTTAGTGAATGTGCTACTGCATTTTGTTGATGAGTTTATTGTGAGACAAAGCTAAGAAACTAAATATACTCTGACTGTGTCCCATGGTGTATGAGATTATTTTTCTGTTTAAAGCTGGTCCTTGTCTTTTCATGCATCTTCTTCCTTGAACACCATTCATGTGAAACATTGATTAGCACTCTGGTGCTTTGTATATCTGAAGATCAAATTACTTTATTTACCTGAAGACAAATTGCAGTTATATAAAACCACATGATGTATTTTAAAATTTTGGTCGCAGGGACCAGGTGACCTGCATCCTGTTCCCAGCTTACTGCAAGTCTGATTATTTTAATCATAAGTAAATCATGTAACACTTCCATACTATCATTTTTGCCTGTCAGGAGTACTGAGACTCAGTCTCACTTTTAGAGAGCATAGAGTTTCTGTTCAATCTCATTTTGAGTGTAGTGCCACAACTATGGATTTCTAGCCTAGAAAGAACAGCCAAGTAGTAAAATAATTGAAAAATTATCTGCTTCATGCCGTTGAAATACTAGTTCAATCTCAAAACAAGCTGAGCACCAGATCATAAATCTATGAAGTCTTTGGTTGAAATGTTTAGATCACGTTGGAATAGGCTTAGAATTTTATAATTAATTTAATTCTTAGATTTTTTTCTTTAATATTTTAACTTTCAGGGGTTTTTTCTTATCTCATGAGAAAGAATGATTTTTTTTCTCCCACAAACATAATGAAATTGCAATGCATTTTTTCACTCTCCCATATATAGAGCTTTTATAAAGTAAATATACTTATTTTGT